ATGGAGTTCAAGATCTAAAAAGGTCATTTTCAAGTCCAAATTGTAGCAACAATGAAGAAGTCTGAATCTATTCTATAACCCGAACACTATTCTGTGTTTGACCTATATCTGGAATTCTAGAAGTCCAAATGACCTTCATTTTTTTTCCTAAAAAGTTAAAACAATTTTTTACAACTTTCATATGTCAAGTGGTTATAATTTTAATGTTATTAATGACATTTTAGGTAGAAAAGAAAAGATAAGGATTGTCACCAAGTCAAGAGTTGGTCACCCCCTCATCAATTAGTCATCAAATCAATAATTCTGAATTTTGGCCTATAAAAGAAGGTATTTACCATGCATTTAGGCATCTTGGTTTCCAGATCATGCTCTTGCTTTCTCTCTTTGTATTTTTTTAATGCTTAAGTTTTGCTTTCAATAATATCAAGTTTATGTCTTTCATTTCCTTTCCTTTACTTAGTTAACTTTTATCTTATTTATGTTCTTATTTTGTTTATTTATTTTTCTTTCTTGCATTATATTTAACTAAGTTTATTATGTCAAGGTGAAAAGGTTACACTAATGGTGTAAGAATAAGTATAGTATAAACTTAATATGGACTTTAATGTTTGATACTAACATGTTTTATATTTGTTATCTTGTTCACTCTTTAATACTTTGCTTGTTAAATAACTAATCTAGATTTATGTTGTATAACACTTGGTGCATCAAATGCTTGGCACTTTCATAGCCTATTATATTATATGGTATAATCGACACCTGAGTTATGCAAGGAACTTGATTTATTGTTAACATAAGTTATAATCTTGAATACTTGACGAGCATTAATCGAATAAGATAACTAATATAATCATGTTAACAATTTATAATATGATTGGAACCTCCTTTATTTATGGTTTACATTTGAGTAATAAGAGTTTATACTATACTTGTTTGACATACTGACATGATCAAAAGGTTGATGTTTTCTTCGAAGTGCAGGAGTGTAGAAGTAATAAATAACCCGGTAAGACCAGGATCAAACTACAAAGAGGTTAATTGTATAAATTATAGATAATAATAATACAACAACAACAACAACAATAACAACAACAGTAGTATTAGTATAAAAAAGAAGAAGAAGAAGTTGATGAGAACTTTGAGATAAAAAATTAATGTATTGATTAAACAATAATAACAACAAATGTTAAGGTTAGATGATCCACTAATGGTATGTCAAACAAGTATAGTATAAACTCTTATTATTCAATTTGAAATCACACACAAAGAAGGTTTCAATCAAATTATAAATTGTTAATATGATTATACTATAAATTAGCAATATTTATCTTCTCTTATCTGCTTAAAAAGTCATTGATAACGTCAGAATTGAAACCACTTGAAAACATGAAAGTTCTAGAAAATTATCTCAGCTTTCTAGAAACAAAAAATTAAGATTATTTGAACTTCTAGAACTCCAGATATAGGCCAAAAACTGAACAGTGTTTGGGCTGCATGACAGATTCAGACTTCTTTGTTAATGCTACAATTTAGACTTGAAATGGCCTTTTTAAATCTTGAGCTCCCATGAAAATTATAGGCCTATGTCTTACCTTTCCATCCATAGAAAGTAGACCTAAATCCGAGATCTACAGCTCTAAATATGACCCAATTACCGAACAATATTCTGGTTTGGACTGCACCATCATCTTTTTTCTAAGTTTGGCCATCTCTTTGTCCTTTCAATTTCAGTTTTTAAACTAATCAATCAATCCTTTCATTTATGTGATAGGCTTGCATTTAAAATGACATTTACCATAAATTAAAGATATCTTATATTATTAGATATGTTATTATAAAACATGCTTTAATTAAGGAGTTATTGATACTTCAAGTGCAAATTAATGACATAAAACCTTGATAAAAATGAACTTTTAAGTACTAATCAATGAACTCAGTTACATTTAACGTTTAGAACCCTAAATGTTATCATGATAAAATTACATTCCAAACTTTTCTTTTTACAAAATGACAAGACTCATTGGCTATAAATACTAGGGGTGATTATTTTCGGGTAGGTTCAATTTTTACCCTTAAAAAACAACCAAACCAAAAAAAAATCCAAACCCAAAACCAAACTGAAACCCGGCCCAAACCGACTGGATTTGGTTTGACTTTGGGTTGGTTTTTAATGCCCAAAACCAAAAAAACCTATATGCAAATTTTTTATGCCTGATTTCCTTATTAGTTATTTGCATCACGGTTGCTGATTCACTTCTTGTTAACTCAGTTGCAGTGTGGTCCATGAATTGTTTAACGCTAACAAATCTCATAGAAGATGTAAATCATGATTCTAGCCCTAGAGACTGGAGATAAAACCAAATAACCCAAAAACAAAAACCCATCACCTCATAAACAAAAACCAACAAATCTCATTAGGAACCTTGTTTCCATCACCTCATCAATAAAAACACCTATCACCCAAAAACAAAAGGAGAGGAGAGGAAATTGATGCTTCTATGATGTACTTGTATTGAACAAAAGAACTTGTTTGAATTCTCTCATGAACTTGTTGTATATGCTAAAATATTTTGGAGAGGCAAGAGGGAGAGCCTCTAGTACTGGGGTGGTTGCTATGATTAGGAACCTTTTTTTAGCCTATGGTAGTCTGTTAGGGTTAGACAAGAGTGGGGGTAAAAGTTTTTATTTATACCAGTGGTGGTTAGGGGACTTTTTTTTGAACTTGTTCAGTTTAGTCTGAGTTAACCGATTGCTACACTACGAAACCAAAAATCAAACCGAATTGGGATTTTTTCTAAATATTCTAATCGGTTAAATTAGTTTTTTTCTCAGTTTGGTTTTTTTGGTTAATTTTTTGTCGGTTTACTCAGTTTATCAATTTGTTTGAACACCCCTAATAAAATACATCATAAGATCTTCAAAACAAAGATTCACAATATTCATTTTCTATTGTATATATATTTTCATAGCCTCTTTCTATAAACTATTCTTATATTTTATCTCTTTAAAAATATACTTATTGAAGCACAAAAGAGTCTTCATCTTTACCAATAAAGATTTTTTGCAGGTACTAGTTATAAACTATGTTGGCCTACCAACTATCAAATATATGCTATCAAATATATTGATATAAAGAATAAATGAGATTGTTAGGACTAATTAATTAACTACTTGTCTACCTTGAGAATTTTATTTCTCCACTACTTGGATTTTTTAAAACTTTATCAATACTATTTTTCTAAAATTTTCATCAAATAATTTCTGATTAAAAAACTATAAAGATGCATTTTTCTAACATGAATTGAAGTGGAACATAGAGCATCTCCTAGTCCTATGTACAACCTAGACCTCATGTGTGCATGTATATTATTTTAAGTTTCCAAGAGATGTGGTGTAATGATAAAGAGTTTGAGATCTACATAATAGATTTTGAGTTCGAGTCAGGACATGCATATTTTATAAGAACTTAGAACAGTTGGGGTTTTACTCACTCACTTGAGCCTATAAAATACACTTTTCGAGGGTAGGGTTTCCTTAAATAAAAAAAAATATATTATTTTGATCATTTTGTAAATTATATTTATAAAATAATTGATTTTTTAAAATTAAATTAGTGTTTTATTATTTATACTAGATTATAATAATAAAATTAAGGATAATAAAATTACGGTAAAACTAATTTTTTTATAGACTTATAATTTTTTTTATTGTGTATTTACTTTATACTATATTATAAATAAAAAGCTGCTCTCTATAGCCACCCCGAACCCAATTAAAAAAAAAAAAAAGGCATTTCTCACATGACAATTTGTTTTTAAAAAGATTAGATACCTTAAGAAAATCACTATAGTTACAATTATATAATAACTTCAATATTTTTTAAAAAATAAATATACTTTTAAAAAACCACTAAAGACAGAAGATCAAACGGGATCCATGTGCATATGCATGCCAAACCCCTAAAAATCTTTCAAACCCTCGTGAAAAATGTTTTCTTCTTCTACTCTCTCCCCTCCTCTTTCGTGATCATCTTCTTAATCTTTTATCTCCCCTCTCCCTTCCAGTACTGCGCTCTGGAAAACCCACAAAACCCTCAACCTTTCACTTCTCACTCGAACCCTTCCAAAACCCACCTTTACAAAATCCTCCTCTTCAATTATTACCAAATCCTATCACCACTCATTTTCCCAGCCCAGACTGAGATGCCCATTTCATAGTTTTGATGATCCTCTTACTTAAATCGGTCAAAGCCATATCTTGGTGGCTTTTGCTGCTTTCAGGATTAGATTTCAGTTTCGACAACTGGGTTACCCATCTGCTGTCAGATCTTCGTACCATAGATTTCTCTCACTTCTGCGCTGCATTCTCCACTACTAACTTTTTCTTTGGTAGACTTCTTTGAGTTTTGCCCTCGAACTTCTTGATGGGTTCTAGGTTTCCATCAATTTAGATAGCTGCTACCCTTAATCTGCTTTGACTTTTGACGAAGAATTGATTTTGAAGATATCAAGTTAGTTTGTTTTTGATAATCTGTCCCCGTTTGTAGTGTATGTTGATTTTCCCTAGCTTTGTAATCTGATTTTAGTTCCTTAAACTGTATTTTTGTACTTGTGTGAGATACCCACTTTTTATTTGTTTGAGGTGTATCACTTTTGGGTAGATAATTCATGGACTTCAGGGAAATAATTCACCTTTAGTTTGAAAGATTGCAGTGATTGTGGCCATAATTCAAGTGGGTTTTCGACCCTTTTCCATCTCCTCCGAGCAAATTCATCTTCCAGCTTTGTAATCAGGGCTGATTATACTCTTCTCTTGGTTCTGTCTGTCAAAATGACTGGAAGTGGTCACTGTTTTGTGGAGTGGAAAGAGCAGTTTATTTCGCAGGAGCGTGGAAATCGTGTGGTTCACTATTTCCTGAAGGATTCTGCCGGAGAATCTATCATTGCTGTTGTGGGCACTGAGCGGAGTGTTAGGCATATGTTCTATGTGGTTGCTGAGGAGTTTGTGCAGGTTTACGGTGCTGAAAATTCCATTCATGCTGGTTTCAAGTGGAGGTCAAGAAGGGAGGTTGTGGATTGGCTTACATCAATGCTATCAAAGCAGCATGTACAGGGTGATGGATCCAGTATGTATTTTTATTTTTCTGTAGTTTTTCTTTGTTTTCTCCATGTGTTTCGTGTTACTTGTATCCTGTCATTGATATATTATATGATAACTTGCTATAATAGATTTCCAATGTGATATTGTGTATGAAACGTTTTGTACTTGGTCCATTGATCGATGGTCAATTACCTTTGGTCTTGTTTGAGTAATGCTTTATGTATTTTCTCAATGTGTTTAGTGTCACATGTAAGCTGTCATTGATATATTATATGATAACTTGCTATTATTGATCTTCAATGCTATACTATGTATGAAATTATATATTTAAGCCATTGATCAATGGTCAATTACCTTTGGTCTAGTACGAGTAATGCTTAATGTATCATGGTTTGGTTGTTATTTTATATCCTTGTTCCTCCTTTCTTTTTAAAATTATCTTCCTTACTGGTCATGTATAAGGTTATTAACTTTCTTCTTCTTCAATGTTTATAGATTAGAACCTCATTTCTGATCATTTGCAATTGAAATCTTTCTGAACTGGCCTTAGGTGCATTATTTATTAATTGTCTCCTACAGGAGGCTGGTCTGTGTGCTATCTTTTATGTGCTCTCTCTTACAACATTCAGATTTATTCAATTTGTTGATATTTTTATTAACTGTAATGTATGATAAGCCCTATCAAATGCAGCCTGGAGGCATGAGGGCTGCTGAACACAAAGCACCAGTGTCTTCAGGTTGCATTTGGAACAAGCATCATATGGGTTTGTTTTATTGCAAGATTCTGGCAGTATTTTCTGGAACAATTACGCACAGCGTCGTGGAAACTAGTTCTTTATTTTATCTGGTACAATTATGTTACACTTTCTCAGCAAGATTTAATATGTGCACCTTTAATAACAGAAACACTACAAGGTGTAGAATCAGTAAATGGGCTTGGTGGTCAACATATGCAGGTATCAGATGCTGAATATACTTTTTCTTGGCACATATCTGTGTCATTCTAATATTAATGCTTTGATGTATCTCTATATGTGAATTGCAGGGCTGTCTTTCAAAAAATCCCAGTGGACATGATTCAGACATTGTGTGGTCAGGCATTGCATGGACATGCGGGAAACAACTGAAGCATTACCCTGCATTCTGCAGGAATGCCACTACAATAGCAGTAAGCATTCATTGTCAATTAAAACAGTAAAGGAGGAGTTGAGTTGTTTTACATGCATGGGCTAGGCTCATTTGTCTCCCTGTTGGAACTTCCTTATCTGTACTAGAAACTTGGCTTTTCAATTTCACTAGTTCAATGTAGAGGCATAATTCCAAGTGTAAATGATCAATTGATTGAAACTGTTGCTGGAATATTTTGCCTGACACTGGAACCACTTTCGAACATGACCTTGCAAGCTGATCGAGAAAATGGCCTCTGGAGGGAAATCTGAAGCTGATGACTATTGAAAAACCAATGAAGTCTCTAGGTCTTTTTTTTTTTCCAGAAATAACTTGAAGGTAGGAAGAGGACTGGTTTTAGATTGTAATTATGAGATGGGACTCTAAGATGTGTATGATTTACTTGTAGAAGTGTTTTTTCTGAATTTGATTGATGTGGAAGGTGAGATGCGTTATGAACCATATGATCGCAAATGCAAATTCTATTACCCTTGTATGTTAATAGCATGATGTGCCTTATCCACTTCACAGATTATTTTTATTTTCTTTTTACCTTCTCTGCTGAGATGCGTGTCTGACCGACCGGCTATCTTTTCTTTAGAAGGCATACAAATATTTTCCAGTTACTGTTTGAATTTCATTGGCTGTTCAATTCTGAGTTTTCCCTCATTTTTCCATTTGCAGATCCAATCTTTTGTCTTTGTCATGGCTAAAGGACAGAATCATTATCTTGCTTACTTGGAAGATATGTATGAAGACAAGAGGGGACAGAAAAAAGTAAAAGTGAGGTGGTTTCACCACAGTGAGGAAGTCAAGGGTGTAGTTCCTCTAAGAAATGCTCACCCACAAGAAGTTTTTATCACACCTTATTCACAAGTCATAAGTGCAGAGTGTGTTGATGGTCCTGCCATAGTCTTAACTCGTGAACATTATGAGGAATGTTTTGCTGCTTTTCCTGATGCTTTATCAACGAGAATACATTTGTGCTTTAGGCAATTTAGAAGCAAAAAAGTAAAGCCCTTTGATTTGAGTAAATTGCGTGGCTATTTTGATCAACCTATTCTCTCTTGTTTGAATTCCAAAGCCTTTCTAGGGGCTGAGCGCATAGCCTGTGGATTAACAGAAGAAGATGAAGTATTGAATCCAAGCGAGAACATAAAGCTAGGAGCCAAGAGGACCAGAAGCGGCAGTGCATCTGAAGCATTTGTGACAGATCATTTGGGAGTTGGAGTTTCTGGTAGTCAGATTATGGCTTTTGACTCTTCATACCTGAACTTAAGATATGGTTTGTCAGGCAAAACATTGCTTCCCCTCAAGTGTGTAGACTCCCACCAATGGTATAGCCATCTATTTAAGGTTGATCAAAAGATTGAGCTGTTGTGCCAAGATAGTGGTATACGGGGTTGCTGGTTCAGGTGTACAGTCTTGCAGGTGTCTCGAAAGCAGATAAAAATACAATATGATGATGTGCAGGATGAAGATGAGTATGGCAATCTTGAGGTATGCTTAGGCATCATTAAGCACACTCTTTAGATTTATACCACCTGACTTGAACTCTGTATAGAAAACTAGATAATGGTGTGGTAGCATTGGAGTTTATTGTAATTAAAGATGAACCATTTCTTTTCCTGTTGGATTGATGTCTGGAAATTCTCAGAGAAGTTAACTTCCAGGTCAATTTAGATTGCTAGAGAAATTGTTAGGGCATACCTTGTTCATAAGCTTTGATGTGATTTTTTAATCATTACTGAGTGGTAGTTTCGGATGCATTCATGCTTCGTTGTAAAAAGTCCCATTCATGATTCTCAAATAATAGGTGCAGTCCAAAAGATTTTCTATAACAATGGATACATCCCTGCAACATGTGTTACGTGTATCTTGTATTTTTCTTTGGACAATGAGGTTGAATTACTCTCTCAATTGTAGGAATGGGTCCCAGCTTTCAAATTGGCTGTGGCTGATAAACTTGGCATGAGGCGCTTAGGCCGCCCAACAATGCGACCAGCCCCTCCTCTGAATGAACAAACAGACTCTGCTCTTGAAGTTGGGTCTGCAGTGGATGCATGGTGGAGTGATGGGTGGTGGGAAGGTGTAGTAACTAAAATCGATGACAATGGCGGTGATGTTCTGCAAGTTTACTTTCCAGGTTTGCTTTTTAAGAATTTAATGCGAAGCACTTAATATTTGTACCCTTCCTTTGTATTGTCTTTTCTGTAATTTTCCCCATGTCTTCCTGTTTGCTGTCTGATAAACTGTTGTGGTATCAGGTGAAAACTTATTTTTGGACATGCACAAAAAGGATGTACGGATTTCTAGAGATTGGGTGGGCAATCAGTGGATTGATATTCAGGCAAAACCTGACATACTCTCAGCCATATCGGCTGCAAGTAGCCCTGAAACAAAAACATCCATTTCCTTGATGATTAACAAGGACCTGGCATCTGATCTTGTTGCTATGTCTTGTGTCGAAGTTCCTACCAGTGCTAAACCTAATACTATTGAAGAGAGAAAACCTGAGTTTGCTCTGTTAAGTGGTTCTGATAGCCATATTGAGGCCACGGAATGTGTTGACCATGTGATGCCTCCAACACCAGGTTCCATAGGCAACAAGGATTGTTGTGAAGACATCAATATCAGTCATGGTAAAGGTGAAATTGCAGGTGATGATGAAGTTCAGGGCAATGGTCAGGGTGAAGTAGTTGGTGATGTTAATGACTGTGCTGACAAGATAGATGTGGAAGTCTCGGAGACTTCTGAGAAGAATAGTAAAGCTACAGAACTCATGGAAGTGATGGCATAAGATGTTTAAAAAGAGCTTTGACTACATCATCTCTAAATTGTCATGGTGCTGCTGGTTATAGCTAACGTGGAATTGTGGATGGTTCTCATTTGGTGGTCAGGATGCTTGTAAATAATAACAGGAGAATCGCTGCTTCTCAACCCTTCTTACCTCCACGTCCACGTCCATAGATGTACAGGAACTATCTTAGATTTGTAAGATTTCCGTTGTAAGTGGTTGTATAATTGGGATTGGAGTCAGGATTACTTTGGTCAGAAGCCCTCTAATTGATTCGGCTCCCTTGGTGGTTCATGCTTCTGTGATTCTCGCTTGTAAGTTGCATCATCTACCAAACCTTCGGCTCTTATAATATCAAAATAATTAGTTGTTTCTAGTTCTGTTTTCCCCTGAAAATTTGCCAAATGTTTCAATCATTGCTCAACTTTTAATATGAGCATTTTGCTTGATTTCAAGTTGGAAAATGAAGGTGTGTTTTGAAACGAAGAGCACCTATCGCACTGGCTGTAACTAGACAGTCGTGCGTGATTTAGCCATTTGCATAAATATATTTTTAAAGAATAAAATTAATAATGAATTGGTAGGCGTAACTATAGTTTAAGCCATTGTTCTCCACCTATGAATCCTATGTCCAAGTAAGGTCTTGCATCCTCGTACTTGAGCGGCTTTAACCATGGCACTCGACCTCTTGCATTTGTTCCTCTTCCACTGCACTTGTATTCTCCAAAAACCACAGTCCTGCATGTTTGTGAAATTCGTTCAAGTTGTGTGTTGAATTCCTGGAATCTTTAAACAGAACGATTGCAAAGAACTTAAACATAAGAGTTTATATATATACTTTTGCCTGTATGGATCGTTCCAGTCACTCCATCCTGAAGGATCTATAATATCGTTAAGATAACAGTATGAATATATCGTCCTTGAGTAGTTTCCCCAAGCTCTTCCTAGCAGAATTTTGCCAGTTCCATTGATCACGCAGCCTACGAAAGAGAAACCTGTGTCCTCATTAGGTGAATCCCTGTGGTGAGCTGCAATTGCTCCAGATTTTTTAGCCGTTGATTGAAGGACACAATCCTGTTTCAAAACAATAAATCTCGTTTACCACAACCTTCAAGAACTGGAAGGGAACTTGTATAATTGGCTCTCTAGGTCATATAACCTGAAACAGTGATTTTGCTCTGCCGAATATGAAGTCAATACTTCCTTGGATATGACACTCGTAGAAGTAATGCGTTCCAGTCTCGTCTAAGAGAGTGTCTTGAGCACCCAAGACTCTAACTCTATAGAAAAATGCTTTTTTACTAGAAACTCTCATTGCTACTGCTTGCATTCCCTGCCCTCCGGGCTCTGCTACTACTGTATTCTGTCATCAACCCCATATCAAATTAATTATCCCTTATACAATCAAAGTGCATAAAAGAGAGAAGGAAAGCTGCAAAATCAAATGCCAAGGCTGCAGGGTAGGCGGATGGACGTTAATTAATTACCTCAAAGGTGATACCGGTTGCGCAGAAATAATCAGATTCTATGGTGACTGATGCTGATCTATATGTTCCAAGAGCAGTGCCATTGCTATCTGCATCTGAAGCCTTGTTGTTCCAAGAAATAATAGTGTCAAAAACACGATTTTGGTCTCCGATCATTGAGATATACGGCTTGGTTCTAGGCACAAGTACCTTCTCCCTGCATATTTCACTTGATCAAAATCTGATCATCTATCAACTGCTGGAGATTTTAAAGCCAAATCAGGTCAAGATATGCATATGCATGCAAGTGTAAGCAGTAACTACCCCCTAAATAACTAATAAACAACCCACGTTGCCTTGCCACGATCGTGTGTCCTTTCCACTTAACACCCCCACAAAAAAATAGCACTAACTGCAAAAAGAGTGGAGCATGTTTCAAAACTCTATATTTCCGGTTCCACTTGGGGAAAAAAAAAAAGTTCTGCAAACCTGTAAATCCCTGGAAGAATGTAAATTTTAACTCTTTGAGTGTTATATTGAGGCACCAGGTCGATTGCACCTTGAACTGTTAATGAATCCGCTCCACCATTCTTGTCAACTACAATTACTCGGCTTCCATTAAAATCATATTTAGAACTCACTCTTGCACCACGCTTATCCATCTTCATATCATCCCAACTAATAGCTATACCTTTCGCATTCGCGCTGCTTTGTGCTAAGCCCACCTGTAAACAACCTAAAAAATACAGCAAAACCACAAGAAAACCTCCACCAACGTTAACAGACTTTCCCATGAATAATTCTTGCTGTTTCAATTCCCTGATCTCCTCGACGTACGTGCATGCGCTAACTAAAACAAGCTGGTTGTTTAAGACTGAATCTTGTTGGTTTCGGTGAAGGTTGTGAGAACAGGTGAGCCTAATAAATAAGGGAGCGTGGTGGTGGAGTCCTACTGTTCCTGAGGAACTCGAAATTAAGTAGAACATTACTAAGCTAATAAAGCGTGTTGCATGCTACTTCAGAGAAAGAAACAACTCCACTGCTCGTGTATATATATATATATATATATATATATATATATATATTTAGAATTCAAGACAGAAAGGTCGGTCATGAAAGTTTTGCTAAACCCAGAGAAATAGATTTGGCTTTCTTAAATGGGCTTAGAACTGGTTCATAAATAAGATGATGGGAGGTTAAAAGAGGCGGTTATGCTGGCTTTCTTTAGCTGAAACTGAAATGAATGTTGCCTTGGATTTTCATAACATATATATATACACTCATGGCTCCCGACCTCTCTCTTCTGATGAGCGTTGAGAGAATTGGTTGTTGGTACTGTGCGTTTTGCACAAGCTTGTCGTTTCAGAAATTAAAAACGAAAACATTCAATTATTATACAGTTAAATTGCTTTCCATTTATTTGAAGTTTGGGGATAACTGAATTTATTTTAATGAATGTACTAAGTTGGTGTGGAAATGCTTCTTTAAAATTGTCAAGCAAATTAAGTATCCAAGAATATCTCTAACCATAATAAAAAATAATTTTGGCATACTATAATTTTCTATAAAATGCAAAATATACTGAGTCCCTTAACATAAAGTTTTCTTTTTTCATCCTTTTTTTTTTCTCTTGATCTAGCTTTTGACCAACTTGTAGGTTAATTTAGACTAATTTGTTAGAAAAGAGTAGGATTGAAAAAAAAGATTAAAAAATATATAAAAAAAAAAAACAAAGAAGATGAGTGACTTTTTCAAGTTATGGGGTGAAAAACCCATTTGGCCCTTCAAAAATATAACCAAAATACATGTTATTGGTGGTAATTAAGTAATTTTATAATGATTCATTTGCTGTTATTAAATTTAAAATGGGCAATAATAACCTTTAGATTTTACATGCCCGAATTTTCTAATGCATGGATATTTTTGTATTTTCACTTATGATTTATTATTATTATTAATATTATTATTATTAATATTATGAAGTTAGTTTATGGGCAATCTTGTAATTTAATATATAAAAAAATTTAAAAATAAGTCGTTGATGCATTGCACATGTTAATGCATAAACAACATGTGCATAGTTGTCTTGTGGTTAAATGCTGCCTTTTACAGCAGTAGTTCAATTATCTAGTCATCTTCTTCATAATGAGATAACGTGTGGCCAAAGGCCATTCGTTTTAGCTTTGAAGGTTTTTTTTTTTTTTTCATTCTTAATTTTTACACTTATCTTTTAAAAATTTAAATTAACTTTTAAATTTTTAAATTTTTTTCTGATTTAGTTCATATTCTTTTTATTATTATTTATTTTATTTAAAATTATTTATAAAATTAAAATTATTTTTTAATTTCATCCCTTTTTAATTTTTTAAATTTAATTATTATTATTTTTATTATTTATTTTGTTTGAGATAATTTTTAAAATTTATTTTTTTTACAATTTTATCATTTTTAGATTTTTTTTTCCTATCAAATTTGATCTTTATTCTTTTGATTGCTATTTTTTTTTACTTTGATAATTTTTTTAAATTGACTTATTTTTTTCATTTTTATCTATCAACATTAAATTTAAGCTTTTTAAATAAGCACAGATCTAGGATTTCATGAATTTCAAGTTTTAAAAATTATCTCCGGTTTAAAAAGTTTTTTTTGGTTGTCTTAGTTTTTTTTGCCTTTTTTAATCTCATGTTTTTCTAATTTAAGACTTCAGAATTTATTCATTTGGAGATGAAGCTATATTATTTTTATCTTTGTATTTTATAGAATATTTTACTAATTTTTTTAAATAAACTAGGTTATCTCGATTCTTTTTATTTGTTATTTTTTATGGAATTTACTTTGATTTTTTTAAATGATATTTTTTTTCTAATTTTTTCTTTCATCATTAGATTGGTTTTAATTTTTTTTTAAAAAAATTATTATTTAACATTGAGTTGTTTTATAAATAAAATTTATAATTTTATTTAATTTACTTTTATTGAGGACTTTTTTTACCTTTGTACTAGCATGGATAATCACTTGATTAAATACTTAATCTTAATTATAATTATATCTTGATCAAATATCAATTTAATTAAGTATATAAACATTTTAATTTATAATTAAGAACCTTTTTATATTAAAAAATACACTAAAAAAATCTATATATTTAATTTTTTTATTAAAAAAATGTTCAATTTATGATTAAAAAAAGGGTAAAATAGCTTATATATATATATATATAAAGAACTGAAAAATGACAAAGCTTAAAATTACATTTAGAGGAGGATTAGCTTATATATATATATATAAAGAACTGAAAAATGACAAAGCTTAAAATTACATTTAGAGGAGGATTGGATTTTGTAAGTTTGTAATGAGGGAGTTTTAAGCTTTGTCATTTTTCGGTTCTTCTTTTATTCTTTTTTCTTTTCTAATATTATAGTATATATTAAAAGAGATGATATTTTTATTCTCATTGACTCATAAAATACTATTTAATTTAATAGATTTTTTTTTGTTCTTTTTAAATCTATATTTATTTTTCTAATTTTATACTTTAACATTTAGTTTGTTGAAGATTTAATTTTATAATTTATTGTATTTTGCTTTATATATTGTTAATTAAGTCTTATAATCTGTATCATGGATTTGGTAGGTTAATTCGGTGGATTTGATTATTTTTATTTTTTTATTTATTTTTTTTTATTTTTATCTTTTAATATTGAATTTATTAGGAATTGAACTTCATAATTTATTTTGGTTTATGTTTTATGATATTATCTTGATTTTAGGACTCTAGTGGCGAATTTGGCGGTTTAACCTGGTTAACTTGGGTTTTTTGTCTTTTTTAATTGGTGTTTTTTTTTTAAATTTCATTCTTCAACATTAAGTTGATTATAAATTAGGTTTTATAATTTATTTTAGTTTTTTTTCTATGATGTTATCTCAATC